ACACATCCTGGAATAGTCATCCTCTAGTAAAAAAAAGTCTTTTGAACCACTTATGAAGCATCGGTCCACATAAATTATCAGCATGCACTATTCCTAAAAAAATTTTTTTGCCCTTGTCCCTCTTTTATAAAATGGTAATTTACTTTGCTTACCCTCACAGCAGACTTGACAGAAAAAATCTTATTCCATTTTTTGTCATTGCAGTTCAAACCATCGACGCTACTCTTCATTTTTTTTAAGTCCTTGTAGTTCATAAGCCCCAATCTACGATGCCACACCTCAGTTGTTACCAATATGCTACTCCATTAGATTCTTTTGAGGGTTCATTGTATTGGAATCTGTAAACAATATCATTTAACACTGCAGTTGCTATCAACTCATCATACTTGTTAAATATTTTGCAACCTGTTTTATCGAAAACAACCAGGCGCGTAGATAGGAAATACTTAATTCGAACAAAAGATTACAACGAAAAGAATGAGGTCGTAGACCGAGTCGTTCTAATCACACGAGTTTTGTAGTCATGTTTAAACGCACGTGTGATGTACAACATTTTATCTACAAAGCGAAAAAAGAATGTTTTTTCAATAATTTTCGTTTATTAGTAGTTGCCTACCTTCATTTTACCTTTACAGGTTTAACTTTGACATTTGTCAAATCACCAATAATAGTTGTGTTATAAATTCATAACCTAGTCCATAACACCACTAGTTGTGTTATGAGTCTCATAACATAACTCAAATACTAGAAAAATGGTTATGTAAAAACGTCATATAACCAAACGCTTATAGATAATAGTTATTTATATAACTAGTACGGTATGAGCTTCATTACAGTAACGAGGGGGGAATATTACCAAGACGAGGTCGTAGACCGAGTCGTGGTAATCACACGAGTGCTGGAATGAGCGTTACCGTACGTGTGACATACAACATTTTATATACTATCCAGATTCAAAAAGTGCCAATAAAAATGAGTTACCTAATGACCTCATTACATCACTAATGGCCATTCGCACGGCTATCGCTTAAGAGATATTTATTCTAAGTCGAGCTTTGAATGTGACTTTTGTTTCTACAACAGTTACATTCAAAGCTCCACTTAAATGAAATATCCCTTAAATTATAGCGGTGCAAATGGCCGTAAGTACGATAATACAACTTATTACGTAACTCAAACAGGCTAAAATGAGTTACGTAATAAGCTCTTACAGTGTGGGTCGCACATAATAGTTATTTATGATATAAGTGCTAAAAGTGACATTTTATTTTGTGAAAAGGGAAGTTTGGGACACGACGCCGAAGGCGGAGTGTTCCATCCCTTTGAACAAAATAAAATCACTTTTAGCACGAATATCATACACTATTTTTTCTAACAACGCACTAAAAGTGATTACTTTTAGCACAAGTGCTAAAAGTAATCACTTTTAACACCAGTGTCATAAAATGGCATTTTAGACACTGACAGCATCCGTTAAAAATGACACTTTTAGTGACGTTTGTAGAAAAATATATTTATGGTGAAAACGAGACAAACGAGTTTTAATAAATCGGGCACTCAAAACAAGTGAAAAAAATAACAGGAAGAAGAAGTCGAATGACTGAATGAAAACTAGAAAAAAAAAGACAGAAAGGGAGGAAACCAAGACAAGAAAGAAATCAAAGGCGAGATAGGAACGGTCATAGACGAAATAAAGACGGTAGACAAAGAATTCGAGAAGAAATATAAAAAACTGAAGAAGCAAAAAATAGTTAAAATTCGCGAAGAATACCCAACAACGAATTCGGCAGCACAATGGATGTATCGGGAAGCCCTATCATACGTGGCCAATAACTCAAACCATAAAGTTTCGACGACGAAACATCCTGGACACTATCAGTTGTTGTAAGCCGCTGCCAGTGCAAACAGAATGGCTGACAGAAAGCATCAGTATTATATCACTGTCATCGCATGGGAAGGCACATGGAATACTGCAGAATATTCCTGACGCAAAACCTAGCGACTATCGACTAGTGATTTTTAGTTTTAAAGCCGAGGTATGAAAATAGATATCTCACTCAACTGTATTAGAGCCAGGTATAAAGTGTCGGATATACGCTGAAGGAGTTAGGTAGGTAGCGGAATCAAGATATTGGCCAGGTTGGCATATCAACAGCCAGTGTCAAACGGCTGTACAGAAAAAACACAGAGCATATAACCTTTGGAAACGACAACAAACCGCTCAAAACCACACAGAATTTATAGAAGCCAGAAATAGTTGCAAAATTACTATTGACTCCGCTAAAGAAACATACAATCGAAGAATAAAAAACAGGTTGCTGAATTGTCCAAGTAGTTCTAGGTCTTTTTGGTCTCTTGCAAAAGCTGTTGGATCTAACTTCACCAAGTCATCCATACCACCACTTACAGATAAAAATAATCACTTAGCCACAACATCAGAGGAAAAAGCCAATATGCTTGCCCAAATGTTTTCCTCCAACTCCAACCTAACAGTGCCAAACGGAAAAACTCCACCGTTCATTGAAAGGGTTTCCCATAGTATGCCAGAGGTACCCTTTTGTCACAGAGAAATACGAAAATCCCTAAAAAAGCTGGATACAAACAAAGCAATGGGTCCGGATGGCATTCCCGCAATAGTACTCAAAAATTGCGCCAACGAACTCACCCCAACTTTCGCAAAATTATTCAATTTGTCTTACAGGCAAGGAGTATATCCATCATCATGGAAGTCTGCCGCAGTACAATCCATTCCAAAGAAAGGAAAAAAGACAGATCCGTTAAACTATAGACCAATTGCTCTACTTCCGGTGATATCAAAAGTAATGGAAAGAGTTGTGAACAATCACCTAACCAAGTACTTGGAAAAGTACAAAATTATCAACGATAAGCAATACGGATTTCGAAAATATAGGTGAACTGGCGATTTACTTACATACGTCACTCACTTATGGCAAAAAGCGATTGAGTTGCGGGGTGAAACAAGAACAATTGCCTTAGATATATCTAAAGCATTCGACAAAGTTTGGCATGAAAATCTGCTCAACAAGCTCAAAGCAATGGGATTATCGCCAAAACTTTGCACTTGGTTTGAAAGTTACCTAAAGGACAGATCCATTTATGTTGCACTGGATGGCCAGAACTCCAACTCTTACCAAATAAATGCTGGTGTGCCACAGGGAGCAATCCTTTCGCCAACTCTTTTCCTGATTTACATAAATGACCTCATAGATAAAACAGTAAATCCACTTTATTGCTTTGCAGACGATGGCAATGTAGTCTCCTCACTCATACCACCCACAGGTCTTTCCGCACGTGAATTCCATCATCTTAGACTAACTCAAATATCGCAGATAAATAACGACCTGGAGATAATAGAGGACTGGGGTAACAAAAACCTTGTACAGTTCAACGCGCAGAAAACCCAAGCAGCTCTGTTTTCAAAAAAGACCAGCACCGGTGAGCCAAACATCATGCTATCTGGAAGTGCGGTCACATTACAGAGTCAGTTGAACATCTTGAGGGTTACTGCAGAGACCAACATGTCTTGGCACAGTCACGTGGCAGATATTGCTAAAAGGGCCTCCCAAAAGCTGGAGGTGCTATTTCGTACAAGACATCTGTACACACCAAGCCAATTGCTGACACTCTACAAAGCCCAGATTCGACCAACTATGGAGTACTGTTCACATATATGGAGTGCAGCACCCAAACATACCTTAATGCTTTTGAATACCGTGCAAAAACGAGCTATCAAGCTGATCAATGACCCCGCACTTACTCGTAACTTGGATGGTCTCGAACATCGCAGATCTGTGGGCGATTTATCTCTCTTCTACAGGTACTATCACGGAAAATGCTCTGAAGAGTTGGCACGTATGATTCCACCGAGAGTAGCACCTACCAGGCGAACCCGTCAAACAGACGGTAACCATGAATTTACTGTCAAACTAGAGGCACCAAGAACCTCATTATATCAGAATTCATATCTCTGGAGAACAGCATCGTTGTGGAATAAACTCCCTGCGACGGTTTTCCCTGCAGGTTACAACCTGAACCGTTTCAAGACCAACATACACCGACATTTCCGCGCACTTGCCGCTTCTCGAGCGTGATAGGACATTTCCTTGCGGGTGCGCATATCCGTAAAAAAAAAAAAAAAAAAAAAAAAAAAAAAAAAAAAAAAAAAAAAAAAAAAAATCGACAAGCTCCAAAAGATATTATTGAACAAATAAACGTCCAGTACTTCATCGATAGATCCCAAAAGGCTTTACTGAGTGTGATTTGACCATACACATAGGGGAATTAATATCAGGGGTACGTAGGCCCTGTCTAGGGGCTCCGCGATGTTGATGAAAAAAAAAACGCTAACCTGCTACTTGCTACTATAGAATCAGCTAAAAGAGGCTTGATAAATATTTTTGGAAGGACCACTGTGAGTACAATACTGTGACATTAGAAATAAAAATGTTACGCTTAGGTGCAGGGTTAAAGCCGATATTGATTTATCTGCCAAACTGCTAAAAAATACTTGCTTTCAATCGCAATAAAACAGCAAAGAAATTTTATATTCTTCGCGTCATTCTTACGCTATATAGAAACAGCTTTCGAAAATGTATTGAATTTCTTTATATTTATAGATGTCAGTCTCTGAAATGGAAAATAAAGTAAAATAGTTAGGTACCTATCTATAGGATAATGCATCAAGTCTACCATCAGTACCGCCAGAGAAAATATTTTGATATCATTTAGGGAAAAATGTAAAAATCAACTTCAAAAGTGTTATTAAAAACATTTATATTTAGCAATTTATGCAACAACCTCTGCCTTTTCTAAGACTTCATCGTTTAATATTCTAGGTACCTACTTCAGTTACGTACAATTATTTTACAAGACCTCATTGAAGGCTACCCCTGTTGATAGATTTACCTATATAAGAACGTAAAGTAGGCTTTGAAAATTATCAGTTCATCAAACAACTTGACAAACAAAACATACGCAAAATGTATAAACTTGTAAGTTGTTTTCAATAATTATTAATCTATGTATCTATTACTTAAATTAGGCTTTGTAGAATTTTCTGTTTAATTAAGATTTTCTTTTTCAGTTTGTATTCGTTACCATCTTGGCTATTGCCTTCGCTACTCCTGTTCCTGAAGCCAAAGCTGACCCTAAGCCAGAAGCAAAACCGGGACTCATTGCTGCAGCTTACAGTGCTCCTCTTGTAGCCAGCCCATTAGCCTATTCTGCAGCCTACAGCGCCCCATTGACTTACGCAGCATCTCCTCTAGCTTACAGTGCTTACCCAGCTTATGCTGCTTATTCTGCATATGCTTCACCATACGTAACTGTTTTATAAAAGATGGACTTCAAAGAAAATAAAGTTTAGTCAATATTACAAAAAAAGTTTGCCTTTTTATCAAAAAAGTAGATATGTATAGATTTTGTGGGTTATCATGCATATGTGACTTTCATATGGATTCATTGGGGAGATTTGAATATCTGAAGATGCTACGATCTGACGCTTTTTTTTACCCCAATTACCACTACAGTATTTCATCTATTTAGATCAACATCAAAAAAAGTTAATTATAGAAAACTAGAAAGAAAGAAGGGGAGTGAAGAAGCGTAAGATATATTCTAGTTATTCTACTCAACTTACAATAATTCTTTCTTGTTTTTTTTAATTTGGTACCTAGCGCCGTTTGTAGAGAGATTGTTATTACAAAATTAGTAACAAGACACAAGAAAGTGCTCAGTTAAATGGCAGCGTAAAGTGATTTTTAAGCTGAAATAAAATTATTATGAAAAAGTGTTAGGTGCATATAGGTACCAATTCGAAGCCAGTAAAAAATGCTTAAATTAATGTATGACAATGAACATAAACAGTGATAGGACTGACATCAAAAATCCCCGTCTCACCTCGTTATTTACTAGACATACATTATCTAGGGTTCACCGACATCTTACTCATTTCCATCAGTTTTGAATACGCCAGTGCTATTAAATAATTGTATACGGGACACCTCAACATAATTCTGATTAATTTTAATAATGTGGCTCATTTGTGAAATTTTTTTGAGTTTATCCGTTCGCTTGCATTTAATATCTGTGAATACTTTGCCTATATTTTTTGTTAGTACTGTTCTTCCAATTTTATCTGCTAAATCGCAGTTTATATCGGATTTAGCTATTCGTCCAGAGAAAACTGACATGAACTCCTAACTCCTTGCATTTATAAGGATTGCATTTTAGCCAATCTTGAATTTTTCGCGAATCAATTTTATCACGTTGCTGGCGTGAGCGACCCAATTCTATATGCTGTTCTGAAGTCACAGACTTACATTCCAAAAGCTTTTGTAACAGGCATACAAACTGACATATCAGCAATCCATCTGGCCAAAGACGAATTAGTAAATCCGCGTCTATAAGTTAGGCCACCAGTTGTTTTGATTGACCTCATCAAATTCTGCTCAGTCACTATGTCGGTCCAAGTACCGGACCAAAAGTTGTTGGTTCTTCTTACAAGTGAACATTCCTTTATCAACAAATTTTTCATAGTTTTCAGGACTCATACCTATAATGAAGTTTCTGAATCTGTTGTAGATAAAGGTGTTGCGTAAAATATTGGGATCATCAATTTTAAGCAGTAATTGTGAAGTTGCCTGATCTTCCTGCTCTAATAAACCGCAGCAGCCGGTCGAGACGATCATAATGGGTTTGTTTGTTTATTTGCACCAAAGTTACACCAAGCTGCACCAGGTGCAGCAAAAAATCAGTCTGTCTCTACTCTCTGTCAGACTAACAAAAAAATATGGATTAGAATACATTTGGAGTAGAAAGTGCCATATTGGTGCAAATAAACAAACAAAGCTATTGCCGGCCACTTTTTTGCAACTTGCCATTGTCAGAATCTACGGGACTTTTAGTATGTCATCTAGGGCCACATTATCTGTATGTTCCCACTCATAAACATTTGTATACAGAGCATACCATTTAAAACGAAACAGGCTAAATATCTGATTTAACTTTTATTTTTTTTTAAATCGCTCGTACACGTAATTTGATTGTGTGAAGTGTTTGAAATATTTTCAGCACTAACTTGACCCTCTAGGGAGGGTGGGACCAACCCATACCATTCCAAATGGAGCAGAGGGTCGAGTGATACCTGTTTTAAAAGTGCGTTCAATTTTCTTTCAAATAACATCAAATGAAAGAGAATTGAACGCTCTTTTAAAAGAGGTATCACTCGACCCCTAGTTCCATTTGAATTAGTAAGGATTGGTGCCACCCCGCCTAGAGGGTTGAAGTTGAAGTGCTAAAAATAGTTGCAGAAAACTTCCCCCTTTGAAAACCAAATTACGTGTACGAGCGATTTTTTAAAAAAGAAACGTGACATCAAATATTTAGCCTGTTTCGTTTTAAATGGAACACCCTGTATAATTTTTTCAGAAGTTGGACCTAAATTCCGATAACTTGACTACACTAATAGCTACAGTTGGATGACTAGTCGCATCGGGGAAAATGATCCTGAATATGAATTCCAAGGGAACAAAATTGATGACAAATAACACAGAAGAAGAAAGAAGAGTCACCCATTGAAGATATCTCTTTGGACAAAGTTTGGTTAGGACGTAGGTAATTAGGTATCATAAATCACCAAATCACCCTCATCTAAAATGTAGTTTCGCGTTTCGCAGGACACTTTGCAAGCACATATGGTCATGGAACTCTGAACTAATAACAACGGAGACAATGAGCTAGGCACTGATCATGAGGCAGACCGCAGATGAGACAAATTAGATCAAAGCGAAGTGGCTCGGAAGAGGCTTATATTCAAAGATGGATAATTAATAACAGGCTGAGGAAGAAAGTGGTACTGCCCCTATTTTATTATTATTAATTTCATATTTTAATAGTACTGCCATTCTTAAAATATAATGTTGCAGTCACTATATAAAATTAATTTTAACATACTCACTAAGGTTATACTGTCATCTTACATAAAGTGGTAGTAATGCCATTGATGCCAACTTTTTTCAGGCACTATCCTGCTTTCCATATTGATATATATATTTTTTTAAATCGGTGGAAGTACCACCTTACACTTTATTCATTATTTCAGAATAACCCAATCACATCAATACAATATGTAGTTGATAAAATTTGAATCAATGAATACGTTTGGCTTATCTTATTTTTCAAATACATGTAATAATACTCGCATTGAGTCGTTCAGATTTCTTCTGGTCTAAGCCATTCTTCTAAGATGGTCGGTTACAGGGCTATGGGCGTAGTATTTTTCTTAACCTTATCGTTATTTTGTCAGTTATTTTGTTTTGTTCTTGTAGTTCTAAATTACTTGGTCAGTCCGGGAATAAAATCTAATCCTTTTTGACTAATAATCGTAAAATCATTTGAACGAGATAATTTTTTCATCAATCCATAAAATAACTTCAATAATTTTAAAGTAAATTGCAACGACCTTTATTTCAATTCAATTTAAAGTTACATATACGAAAAGCATATCGTGTAGAATATTAAATAGCCCCTGCAAATAGAGTGTCTATATTTCCTTGTTTTAATTATTCGTGCTATCACAGAGACTTGTACGCTTGTACCAAATAATTAAGGACGATTCTGATGGAATCAACTTCAAAGACTCTGTTTAATATTCCATACCATACACTTTATTCACGTTCTAAGGCTACAAGAACGTAAATTCCTTTGGAGGTTGTATTGCATTTTACTATAAAATAGCTGAATTGGAATAAAAATTTATCAGTTCATCAATACAGTTGACAAACAAACCAAATCAAAATGTACAAACTTGTAAGTAACACAGAATTATTTTTAAAATTTTGTTGATAACTTATATTAATAATGAGCATTTTATTGAAATAATTTTGGCATAATAAACATCTACATATAATTTTTAGTTCGTATTTGCTGCTGTGTTGGCTCTTGCCTGTGCTAATCCTGCACCAGAGGCCAAAGCTGAAGCTAAGCCTGCACTTATTGCTGCAGCCTACAGTGCTCCTCTTGTAGCTGCTCCTGTAGCTTATACTGCTGCCTACAGTGCTCCTTTGACCTACGCTGCTTCTCCTTACGCCTACAGTGCTTACCCAGCTTATGCCGCATATTCTTCCCCTTATGTTGCTGTTTTATAAAATAAGATTAGATTTGTTAATAAATGATAAAGCACAATTTCAGTTATTTTTACTCGTCAGTAGAGTGGATAATTTTCATAAAGAAATTTTACAGGTTTTTATTGCTCTTGAATTTGAGGTTCTGACGTCATATCGCTGGAAAAATAAGGAAAAATTTGTGTAACAATGTAGGTACCTAATTATTCTTCGAAGAATTTTAGCTGTAGGTTTTCCAGTTATACTTTGAGGTGCATTATAAGAGTCACTAGGTATCTACTAAGTTGAATTGTGAAGTCTTTACCTACACAATCCCCAAAAATCTTTCTTTATGCATCCTTCACATTTTGCACCATTCTCTTAGCTTACCTTGGGTGATACTACAACTAATTTCACTTCAAAGCCATTTGAAAAAAAAAAAGTCAAAAACTCTGATGAATAAGTAATTTCAATTTAAATTTTTTTTCAGGGATAGTGAGACCAGTCTCAATGATGGGTTGGTGCCCTGCTTAACCTCACATCTTTGCAGGTTAGCAGGACCCTTCGAGCTTAACTACATCCGGATGTACTGGATGTTGAATTTCCAATATCCTTTTTCTGCCTCTTGGTGGGATGATCACTCTAGTACCCCAAAGTAGACAGTCTTGATATCATATAATCCCTCATTGAAAATAAGGTGAAAGCTCAGAATCAAATTGTATCAAGTAGCCAGTAACACTTCCTTGACCATTGGAGCTATAGAAAAATCTAGGTCCTTCTTTGTTTCAACAGTAATTTGTTAAGCATCATAATGTTCATCTAGTATTGTAACAATTTAATAAAATTGTCCAACGTAAAATTCTGGGAGATAAAATTTCTGCATAATCATGGATTTTTTAATACCTGCGCCTGCAATATCATCATGATTCAAATTTTCGAACACTTGATTTTGGAAAAGTGGTGCAACTCAAGCAAAAAGACGGAGGAAACATCAGCTTTATTATCTGCTTCCGCATGAGGTGTATGAAGAATAATGAAATTCTTGCATTAGTTTTCTCATGCATCGCCCTCAGTTGACAAAGGTCACTACCCTTCTCAGTGGATTCTACCTGTGACTCATCTTCAAATTGACCTCAGACTCCTGAGAGCATCACTTCTAATGGCGCAAAGTCGTGCTTCAGAGCTACTATCAACACCGACAGAAATTGAAAGGCTCTATTTTCAAACACTGGCAGGAAGGTTTCCCAATACTTGGGCTGACGAACCCTTCAAGCAGGAGCCAATCCTTTTCTTTTTTCTGGTTCTATTTTTCGCAGATAATGAACGATATCGATCTAATGTTATGTAGCAAACTTCTCGATAACTGAAAGCCTTTATTTTGAATCCTGTTATTAAAATATTTGGACAACTGTCCAGTCTAAAGTTTCTTATATCTGCTATAGTCACACGTAATGTCTAATGTCATCAATTTTCAAGACTGATTTTGATTTATCAATGTCGATATTAGATGTAAAATCCTTCGCCAGTCAAGCTTCTTCCGCTGGCCTAAGATCGCCACTCATAACAGCAAGGTAGACCGGATCTCCACAAAGTCCACGTTTGATTATTCCAGGCTATTTTCCTCCAGCTTCGTACCAGTGAATGCAAAAACTCTCTCTCTAATTGTTTTACTTTCTTCTAGCCATCTTAGGGAGGTTTCTCTGCTAAAGTGAGTGGCACGGTCTTTTTATAACTTTTGCGGACAACTCCAGTCTCTTCATTTTTCACAAGCCATCGGCTGATGAGTGGGGTGATAGAAGCCCGATCAATTTCATTACTTCTACAAGATTATTTTCTACAGCAGCATCTAATCCTGCGAACTCGAGCTTCCTCCTTGGGCTCCTTGAAACAAGATTTACTGTAAACACCAAACATTTGGATGACTAATTCACTGCACCACTCTAATTTTAGCGCCCAACGTTGCAATTTGCAAAGTTCTTACGTAGGTAATTCTCAGCAGTCAAGCTGAGCACCACTCTTGTGCGAGATCCTAGTGTTCTTATGCAAACTTTTTTGGTTTCGCAGTAGGTACAACAAAATCTCCAGTATGAAATTCGGCTTCCATGTCTGAGGCTAATTGATGTATCAATGACTTTAGGTAGTTTGTATATGTCCGTACTAAGCTAGTGAAGAAAACAATGCCAGTCTCTGCCACGGATTCCTTTAGTGAACATGAGAAGGATCACCAGCATGTCAATATAGTTCAAACCTTAGACCGTTCAAACACAGACCGACAGCGCTTCTTGAAGAAGTCTGTGAAATACCCTTAAACTTTTGGTGACTGCATGTAGCTTTCCCGAATTCTTCAAAATTATTTTCGCGTGCGGGAAAATGAATATGCTTGAACTTAGCACTCAAAAATACAGCGGCGCACTCATAAATTAGGGTTGGAGAAGCGGCCTTTGTATGTATTTGGACATACAAGTTAAAATGGATGCATCTTGAAATTATTACGAAATTATGGTAAAAAGTTTAGGTTCCGGGGGAGGTACTGATATCCAAAAAAACTCCGCCCAATGTGACACTGGTGAAATTTATATGGGTAAAAACAAAAATAATTTACCGTGCGTGTCTCTTTTCATGGAGCTGTATATTTTTTGCCATCAAATATATATAACAAGTAAAATGAAGACAGGGTCTCCATCTATTTTCTGATCGGCACACTAAAAATTGCTACTAACAACCGTATAAACCAGTATTAAATTAGAGCAAATCGACTCGCAAAGGCATTCGCCACAATTGCGAGAATAGCTATTCTAGTTGCCAACCAGAAGTAAAGTCGGTTGGTACCGAAAAAAAAGGTTAATTATATTATATTAATATAAATATATATAATTTGAATTTAAATCAAGTTCATAGGAGTTGAGCATCAAAAAATATGTCGATTTCCAATTTTCGGCCCGTTCTGGTCAAAATACTCAAAATCTCGAGCTGATATAGGTAGATGCATTGCGCGCTGACAAGCATTATTAGTCATGTGATAAGATGGACTATATTTTTCGGATTGGCAACTTTCAAGCATTAATGATTTTATAAAAAAGTTAGGTTAGACCTGAAATGATTCGTTTTCTTTTTTTTTTTTGTAAACACTTTTGACTAAATGCTCGTGTCTCTTCATTAATTAAATTAAGGTTTCATCCGCTCAAAAACTCTGTAGTAGGTACCTGGGCTTATTTTTAATCCCATTTTCAGTTCCTGTATCCAATGACTCCATGGGAGCAAAAAGTCCATGTTGTCCTTGTCGCCCCATAATTTTCGAACATTATGCCCTGATTGCACCAACCTCTATGCTATGCATAGCATAGAGGTTTGTGCATGGGTAGAGCTAGTTTCTGGTTTCTATGGCATCTTGAAATTGCTCCAAAGGTGAGATTCAATATATCTATTTTAGAATGCACATGGAATGTCTTTCTCATCCTTAAGCAATGTATTTAATCACCGTATTCAGCCCATATTTACCGTGTATTTGAATTGAGAGAATCTCAGAGGGAAGAATTTTCAAGGCAAATAATGAAAGATTTTGATAAATTAGAATTATTTTATATGTAAAATTGACTTTGACAAAAACCGTAACTTAATCAATCAAACACAAACTTGTACCACAGCATATACAAAACAAGGGCGTAGATACGGGGGGGGGGGTAGAGGGGGTAATTACCCCCCCCCCAGATCTCTATTTTTTTAGGTAAATTAAAAAAAAAACTAATATTTTATTAGATGAAAAATATTGGGGCTTCCGGGTTAAGTAAAATATCATTATCAAATAAAAATTCTTTGTTCTTGTTCTTTGTTCTTTGCAAGTTGCAAAGCTAGCTGCTAGAATGAGTATACATTTATTTTTAGAAAACTGTATTATCTATTACTGTATTCTGTTAGTAAAAGCCGTGCTGCCTCAGTTTTACACTAACACTGAATCAGTTTAAGTGTAGTAAATTCCCAGAAGAATATGAATTTGGCTATTTTACACCATTCTGTTGTTTGTTTCTTCGATCTGCGTTCGGCTTACGTACACTTGTTCAGAGCTCACTCTGCCTATGACATCACGATATCCATACTCATACCGTTCCGCTCCGTAGAGTGCAAAGCCGAACGAACTCAGTCATTATAAGGCTGGTAGATTTTTAGTGATGTGCCATTTGTCAATTGTCAAAAAAACTGATTAAGCCCGGAATTACAGAAGCTCTGCAACACCAAGATACAAATGCAGGACCTGCAAGTCTGAAGGCCCATCCTCAATCAATCTGATAGCGAAGTGGCACTTGGGCACGCATGCTAGGACAATGTTGTTTAACGTTGGCATCCTCAATTCAATTCCGTGCTAGTATGCACGCCGACTCCGCAAGCTTGCAAGCTGCAAGCTTTTTCGATGCATGACGACTTCTGTCTCTGTCATGCGCAGTACATTAAATTACCATTACATAAAGTGACAGCATTGAGGATGGGTATCAATTTTCCAGCACGCGTGCCGAAGTGCCACTTCGCTACCAGATTGATTGAGGATGTAACTTGACTTTTCGTATTACAGAAGCAGAATGCCCTTGCAGATCGCCTGCAAATTTGCGCATGGTGAAACAGTCTCGTAAGTCCTTGCAATCACTTTGACAACTTTGACATTCTTTGTTCTTTGCAAGTTGCAAAGCTAGCTGCTAGAATGAACATATTTGCAGATGCAAATATGCTGTAATTGGGCTAGCATTATAAATTAAAAAAAAGTATGTAACTACTTGAATAATAGTACTAAGGACAAGTTCTGGAAAAGTAATCGAGCTTGAAATTTTTCTCCAAGAACCCTCCCCCCCCGTCTCGGCCACCCCTAACTTCACCACCCCCCCCCAGAAATGTAAAGTATCTACGCCCTTGATACAAAAACAATATGTATGTATATGCTGTGCTTGTACCATTTTTTTCTAAAAGTGATTTTTTGGTGAAACATTTCACAGCTTGAAACATCTTTGGAAGACTCTTCATTTAAATTTATCGAGTGTTCCAAACTCTCAAACAATATTAGGTATATCCTTAATCCGAAGGAAAACCTCAAAACATATTATCACCCAGCAAAAAAATGCCAATGACGCATTATCGAAATAAAAATGGCCTTTCTCTGAAAATTTTAATGGCCAAAAATTGTACAAGTCACAGAAAGTAATACCTAAGACGTCTTTTTCTGACGGAATGTTTTGAAACGCTATATTTTTGTGCTGCAACGGTGACGTCATATACAGAGGCGGTTCAACCAGTTTCAGCCTGTTTCAAAATAAACGTTAAACAGCTGACCTCAAAATATCACAAAACAATAATTTTAGGGATGTCGCGGGCTCCGTTTTAAAACGGGGCATTTTTGATCACCACCGATCGTGACTAAATAGTAGGTAATTCATTTATTTTACCACATCGAAAAATAGTTATATATTCCAATTCTCCTGTACTTACAGAGACATTCAACTCTAATAAAATTCTCAACTGTTGAGTCAGTTGAACGTGCCGCGCCTTTTCAAATATAATACCTAACTCTAAACATAGTGTAGGTAACGAAATATACACCGCTCGAGATAATCAATAATTATAAGCAACACAGCTTTTTTTAAATCAAACGCCCATGTGGCACACAATTAGTATGAACTTATTACATACAATATCATAAATATAGTTTGAAAAACCTCATAAGCAGATTCAGGAATGAAATTAATAGAAAAAGAAAGACAATACATATTTTCAACAAAATCTGCACTAAACAATACAGAGTACTTATATTTGAAAATTTGCTTTTCAGGTAAGCAAATTATAATAAAAATTGGAATCAAGTGGAGCTATTCACTACAATTCAATATGTAGGGCCAATACAGATTATTACATGATAAATATCCGAATCATAACCACATTACATATTCAAACACTGGTCTCAGCCTTCAGTAAAAATGGTCTAAGTCGTCGCCGGAATTTTTATATCTATACCAAAAATATTTTTATTAGAATTACTCCATGTATGTAGGTAAAGGCTATTCTAATGCCGCCATTGCCTATTGTTATTGAAAATATGTTTATTTAATTGATTTCCTTAATTTGGATATCGGATATAAATACAGTCTGGAGCTTCAGTGCGTTATCAGTTGAATTTGCTATAGCGCGATATAGTGATTTTAAAACTTTTAAGTCTTTAATAAAAACAGTGAAAAATGTTCAAATTCGTAAGTAATCAATTATGTATTATCTAGAGCATATTTTTTCTGGAACTTGAAGCAATCTTAAATTCATAAAACCTAAAATGTTCTATTCTAAAATTTTGAAATCTCATTCCTACACAACCGTAAGGTTTCCAATTTTCAAGCGTTTCAAAATTCAATTAAATTCAAATTACTTATGTCCATGGCCGGATTAAGCTTTCTTGGGGCCCGGGGCTAGTGAAGTTTTAGGGGGCCCTTTATAAATTAAGTAGGTACAAAAAAATATATTAAAGAAGCTATATTCCTGATATAACACAGAAGATACTGCTAAACTTACATGTTTTACTAAAATAAGTCAAAATATCTTTTTTCGTAACTTAAGTTTAACAAATTCTTGTATGACATCAGTAACGTCAGAATGTCTTTTTCTATGCACATCAATGTTAATGAAGACAAGCGTTCCTCCTGCATTGTTGTTCTTGTTTGCGAAACAGGACGCGAAAGACTAGTGCATTTAATATTTATCGTTTGCTCACGGGCCCTTGATCAGCATTAGCCTCAACGCTTCAACGTACGTTTTTCAAAACTAGGGCCCCTGCCGGGCCCTTCTGGACCGCGGGGCCCGGGGCTCTAGCCCCTTTAGCCCCCCCCTTAATCCAGGCATGCTTATGCACTGAAAGAATGATTTATTTATATTAAACTAAAATTAGTGACTATAACTAAATCGCTTATTGAAATATGGCTTACTAAACCTTTGGTCACAATACACAAATTATTTGTTTAAAATTTGAGAATAAAGCACTTATTTAATAATATACTCTATCTAATAATAGTTAATTAACGCATGTTTTGTATAAATGTATATTCATTATTAATAAATAAATGTTTTGTTTTCTGAAGTTAGCGTTTTCTTCGGGATTTTCTATCTTTACTAATAGTGAATTGATCATATTTTTCAAAATTATACGTTTGTTAATAATAATTTCTGTTTTTTTTGCTGGATTAAACATAATTTTATATTTATTAACAGTAAGTAGACAGGAATTAATTTAAATAATCATTTATTAATAGTAAAAAACGTTTATTCGTAAATATTATTTAGCTTTGTTACTGTTAATTTGAAATTATTTACCATAAGTATTTTTTTTTTCTTTGAGCCCGGTTGTACAATTGAAGCCAATCATGGCTTAGTTAAGCTTTCTGGTCTTGAAACCTTCCCATTTAAAATGCACATCTGTAAGATTTGACAACTCGTAGACAGTATTGCATTTTAAATAGGAAAGTACAAGTAACAGTTTTTTTTTTTTTTTTTTTCTGCTTTCTTGTCAGAAACCACCACTGTGGTTTGTCGACAAAGCCTCCAACATCACACACAAACCAAATCAAACAAACAAACAAACATCCATGCACCTAGCCGGGATTCGAACCCGAGACCCACTGCATGCAAAGCGAAAACACAACCGCTGAGCTGCTTGGGTCTGCAAGTTAAGCTTCAATAAGCCACGATTTATAAGCTTCGATTGTACAACTGGGCCTTAGAAGTTTGTTCCTGGGCATAGGGCACTCTGAAATAATTCAAAACAGACCAATCTTTTTTGAACTTTATTTCTTTTTGGTAGACTAAATTTTCACAAAGGTAACATTATTTTGTTGAAAAAAATAAAATCCTAACTAAATTCTATATAAAAAAAAATAACATATCAAACCAAAAAAATAAAATATGTAGCTTTACCCAACGAAACGAAAAATGTATATTTGTATAATGTATAATGTATTTCTTACCAATGCATATTAATTATAATATTGGTTTTGTATTTGTAACTAAATTTGTCAGAAACAAACATTTATTTATTATAATCTCGAATTTTCTTTCAGTGTGTCTGATGATAAAATATGTATAATATTTTAAGTGAGATTAGTAATGTCTGTGGTAATGTTTTTTCTTTTAGGTAATCATGGCTGCTTTGTTCGCTTTTGCGGTAGCTTCTCCGATACCCGAAGCCAACCCTAACCCCAGTCCGAAGGCTAAACCTCAATACATAGTGGACCCATATTATGTAGCTCCAGTTGGGGCTGTAGCTTATACTGCACCCCTGGCTTACGACGTTCACTCTGACTACGTAATCCCGTCAGTGTATGCACCAGGGTATGCTTACTCACCATATGTAGCTGCTGAATCAGTTGTGGTGTATTAAAGGGTTTTTCTTTGTTTAACTTTAAATTGGTAATAAATAATTTTATGCTGGTAGTTTTATGTGTTTTACATAATCGGTATGATCATGGCAAAAATGCAAAACAATTACGAAGAAATTGCTGTCTGTTACCCAACAAAACTATAGACTATTTTTTATTCTCACCAAAGTAACTGGATCACATAATAAAATGTGAATTTTCTGAAAATTTTTCTAATTAGGCCTAAGAAAGAGACCCCAAAATTCAAAAAAAAATATTTAAATTCTCATAATGCTCCAAAAAATAATACAAACTTTCCAGCCAATAAATATTACATTAATTCAAGTGTGGTAAGTGAGGCTTCAACATGTAATGCGTCCGGCTTCAACGCCTTATACAGTCAACCTGGACTCTAGGTTAAGTTTTGTCAACAACTTGTTTATAATATTAAATAAGATCAATATGCTTACACTTGTGAACAATTCCTCTAAGTATATTATTGAACTTTTGATGTGAATACTAGGACATCAAGGCACTGATCGCATCGTGGAAGGAAGCAGATTATTTGACAATACAAGGGACTACAACACTTTATCGATACTCAGGACATTTCTGTGGACTAATGGAAAACCACACAGAACAGATGGGGAAAAAACTGAATGCTAAGTCAATTCACTCGTCTGAGAAATAATGAAAAAGTTAATATTCACATTCATCATAAACGATCACGTCTTGGCACACCCAGCCTCTGGCAGCATTGTTTTTTCCTCTGTCATGCGGACGAGGTGACCTGTCCAGGGCTTCCATGCTAGTTGTTTTGGCCTTCTCTAAAACACAAACGTTCATTCGTCAGTGTTGCCATTTAATCCGTAGGATCCTTCTTAGACATCATTGGTGGAATTTTTCTAGGCTTTTTATGTGTCTTCTGTAGGTGGTCCGTGTTCGCAACCATATGTTAATGTTTAAATTACAACTGCATTGTAGACGCGAACTTTGGTCTCAGCGCTGATGTCGTGATTTTTTAAGACTTTCTCTAGAAGTCGCCTGAACGCTGTGCTAGCACACTTCAAGCGAAATTGGATTTCAGCGTCAATGGTTGCATTTGCTGCTAGATGGCTCCCAAGGTATGGGTAGTATTCTACGTTCTGTAAGGAATGGACATTTGCGGCTTGGAGTCAGTGCAGAATCTGCGCCTTGTTAAAGTTAACCTTTAGGCCGATTCCCCTGTATGCCTAGTTGGGACCATTGATAATTGCCGGAAGATTCTGTATTGGCCATCACGACGTTATCATCCGCATATTGAAGTTCAATTATCGATGTCGTCGATAATAATAATAATAATCAAATTCTTTATTTGCTCAAATACAATAAAATGTTTAGCATTGTCAACCATTGTATAAGTGAACAAATACAGTACACATATAACTTCAAAAGATAGAAGACACAATTCAACAATGAAGTAATAAGTAGTAATAAATTAAACAATAATAAGTGATAATACAAAACAAACAATTATTATGACAAACATATTGTTTTCCTATCTATAATTGACATAGAATTCTTCCAAAGTGTAAGGAGACAATTCTAAAAGTAACTTTTTTATTCTATTTTTGAACATAATAGGAGGCAGAGATTTGATCTCAGGTGCCAGGCAGTTATGAAGTTTTATGCTGTTATTAATGTAAGTTTTATGAGTTAGTGTTAGTCGGTGTTGGTAAATTAATAAGTCTTCACCATTAGTCCGGAGGTTAACAGCAGAATATGACCTCCACCTTGCAAATCGTGATACCGCTATGAAACTTTGCACGAATGTTGTCCACACCCATACCTTCGATTTGAGATATGGAGCCACTTGGGAGCCCCCGGTGGGGCCCCGTCAGTGGGTGTTGCCTATCTCCCAGGGGCAAAATACCAATTTTAACGAATGTGGCCCGTTTTCGATGCGATTTTTTGCGTTCGCGCCGAATTTTGATACTGCCATGGATGTGCACTGTAGTTGACATCCATATAATGTCATTTGGTCTGGTTGCCTATCTTCCCAGGGGCAGGGAATATTCAAGAAACGTAGCTACGGGCTGTGGATTGCGTGAAGCCACTCCCGACGCACACGCACACAAGGACGCACCCACAAACACGCGCGCACACACACACACACACACCAGGTGACGTCACTTCCTTTTGGTGTGCGCCCTGCCTGACTACTCACCGCCTGCTACGCACACCCGCCGCCGGGCGCTGCGTGGTGGGCGGCGGAGGGTGGGGAGGTATTCCCCTGTCCGTCATGGCATTGTTGCCGATCCTGTAGAAACCTGTCGCGCATGGATTTGTTTTGATGTAATATTGTGCGTTAAAATAAGTGTGTTCAGTGCTTTCTAATGCGTTGACATTGGACGAAGTGACTGTGGAGTGGATCCGTGTTCTGTGGTGAGTTTGTTTTTCAGTCGTCATTGTTTTTAAACAGTTTAATTGAGTAGTTGAGCAGAATTAGGTTAGGTAGTTCGCGATTGTTTGTGTCATGTTACTTGCTGTCTGTTTTTTTTTTTGTTTTAATGGGGCATCTGTTGAGTGTCCCATATAGTGATTCTCTTTACTTTGTATCTCACCTCACGTGCAGACATGGAGTCAGTATTTAGATTAATCAATTTGAATGATTCTTTGGAGTCGCCACGAAAACTGCCGATCTCCGTTGATTGGGACAAATGTTTTATTTGTCAGGAGCACACAAAGGAGGAGGTTGTGAAACCATCAAATAGTAAAAGAGTGGCTAATGATGCGTTCACGAGTCTTGCAAGTAATTTAGAGAGCTTTGCGTCTCTTGGATGTCTACTTAAAGAAGTTAACTTAGCCGTGCTTAAAGGAGAAGAAGGATTAGAAACAAATCTACGGGCTAACTCTGCAGTCTATCACAAATCGTGTGCTTTGAAGTACAATAAAACCAAGTTGGAAAGGGCTACTGATAAAAGAAAACTTGGTCAAGAAAATGTGCCACCTACTTCACCACTTAAGACACGCAAGACATTGTATTTAAGTCCTTACGAAAAGGACACTTGTTTTTTTTGTGGACTTGGAAGCTGCAAATTATGGCCACTGAGTCGCGTCATGGACGAGGGAGAGAAAGTTATTATAAACTGTGCCAAAGAATTAAGAGATTCTAAAATACTTACTATGTCTCAAGGGCTTTGTGGGTTGAGATTAATGAACTATCATAAAAAGTGCTATACAAATTACGTAAATCGCTGTAGGCCTCCAAAGTCGAACAAGACTGAAAGTAACGGTATGGCTCATGGGGTCGTTCTGGCTCGACTGATAAGTCATATGAATGAAGTGAGGGCGGAGTCGACACAGCCCCCTGCCTTTAAAATGTCTGAGCTCACGCGCATTTATGCGTCTGAAATGGAGCAGCAGGGCGCATCCTGTGATGTCCACTCAACTAGATTAAGGGAACGCCTTTTAATGGAATGTCCGGATCTAGAGTCTTCTGGAAGAAGTGGACAAGATATTCTCATTGCTTTTAAAAGAGATATAGACTTGACTATGAGAGAAGACTGAGAAGAACGGTTTCACACAATCCACAGCCCGTAGCTACGTTTCTTGAATATTTCCTGCCCCTGGGAAGGTAGGCAACCAGACCCAATGACATTATATGGATGTCAACTACAGTGTACATCCATGGCAGTATCAAAATTCGGCCCGAACGCAAAAAACGGCATCGAAAACGGGTCACATTCGGTAAAATTGGTGTTTTGCCCCTGGGAGATAGGCAACCCCATCTGACGGGGCCCCACCGGGGGCTCCCAAGTGGCTCCATATCTCAAATCGAAGGTATGGGTGTGGACAACATTCGTGCAAAGTTTCATAGCGGTATCACGATTTGCAAGGTTGAACCTGCTAACCTCCGGACTACATGTCTAGTCGGGTAGTGATGTCTGCTATTGACTGTTAAGAATTCAGATATATGTGCTCTTGTGTAGTTGAGGCACTGGTATATGAACAGACCTGGTAGGGTCAGTATTTGGAGATCACGAAAAAAAGGTCTGCAGCTTTCAGTTGGTTTCAGTCTTCCAATCGTTCTGATGGCTTTTTTTTTGGATTTTAAAAACTTTTGGCCAGTCAACAGAACATCCCCAGAAAAGCAGGCCGTATGACAGCCTAGATTGGAAGAGTCCCATATAGGCTGCACGGGATACTTCAATTGGGGTGATAGGTGCGATTCTGCGAAGAAGATAAAGGGTACAGGAGAGACTCTTAGAAAGTTGGATAATGTGGTTATTCCAGGTCAGTCTGCTCTCGAACTGGACCCCCAGGAATTTAAGGGCCTTGGCCTCATCTCTTTCTTTTAGGGAGAAGGTTATGGTTTCGGTTTTATCAAGGTTCAAACAGAGATTGTTATCAGCGAACCATGTGTGAAGTTTCTTAATGGTGGAAACACATGCAGGATGAAGCTGGGCAGTGTTGCAATGGTGGTCAAGGAGGGTTGTATCATCTGCGTACTGTATTGTTTTCAATTCTGGAAAAATAGATGGAAGTTCATTCACATATAGAATGAATAGTAATGGCCCTAGTATGGATCCCTGTGGTACACCCGCAACAACAGGCAGCACCGGAGACCTCTTACCACCAAAATCCACCAGCTGGTAGTGGTCTGAAAGATATGACTCAATTATATGCAGTGTGTTGCCTCTAATGCCGTAGTAGCCCAGCTTGTTTAGTACCTAGTATCTGGTGTGACACACAGTCGAACGCTTTCGAGAGGTCACAGAAGATGGCCATAACCGACTCTGCCCCCTCGAAGCATCCAACTATATGCTCTACCAGGGCTCTAATTGCATCTGTTGTAGATTTTTTTTTACGAAAACCAAACTGGTGGCTGGACAGCAGCTTACTCTTTTCTAAAAATATGGTTGAACGATTGCAGCCTCAATTGGTTTTGACAAAGCCGGTACCACAGAAATGGGTCTATGGTTTCCGGGGTCATTTTCATCCCCTTTTTTGAAAATAGGTACTACCCTACTGGTTTTCAACTTACTTGGGAATTTCCCACCCTCAAAGCATCTGTTTATAATTATGGAAAGGGGAAGGGCAAGTCCTTCCGCGAGTTGTTTCAAGATTTTGTTGCTTAGACCAAAGACCTTTCCTTTGCTTTGCTGTCGCTCATGCAACTCAGGATACTTACTACCTCTGCAGGTGTTACAGGAGTTAAAAAACTGTATAGTTATTGTGAATAAATGTAGAG